AATATGTCAATCATTCTGTCGCACTTCAAAACACGGAGATTTATGGCTTTAATAGGTAAACTCCAAAAATATAAATAAAAAAACGTAACAGATATTTCTTGATTATAGGGCGATACGAAGTTCGCCGGGTCTTCTAGTATATATATATGGTTTTATTGCTGCAAGATTATACGCAAAAGTATTACCAGTATCAACTCCAACTTGGAGCTCTTATGAACTTTAAAGTTCTCGTATATATTAAAGCGTTTAATTGTAGGAGTTTTAAAAAGACCTAAACTTCTTTAGTGACAGAGCAACTGGTCAAAGTCCACTTAAACTCGCCACTAGATGGAGCCAGTCGCGACTAGATACAAAACCCGCCACCAGTCAAGTTTACATAGCAACAGAACCTAGATAAAAATAGCTCAAGAGTCAAGAATATCGGTTCACATATTATATCGGCATACGTATTAAATAAAACTATTACTATAAATTAGAACTATATATGTACTAATCTAGATTAAATCAAATTTATCGACCTAAATAACATATGAATTATTTGCGAAAATTACTATCAAAAACGATTTATAGACCAATTATATTTCAGAAAACACAAAATCCCTACTACATAATATTATAAATGCGAAAGTAACACTGTCTGTCTGTTACGCTTTCACGCCGAAACCACTGAACTGATTTCAATGAAATTTGGTACAGAGATAGAGTTGACCTTGAGAAAGAACATAGGATAGTTTTTATCCCAGACTCTTGAAAGGTTCTCTTGGAAACGCGATATAAACGAACTCCACGCGGGCGACGCTGCGGGCGGAAAGCTAGTAATAAATAAACACAAATTAGTATGAAGAAAGAGCCACATTTAAACCTTCCGTAATTTTGTTTCAAAGGCATAATTTGAACGTATTGGTTAGATAATTACGTAACCATATCTTTCATTCGTATATATTTAACTTGTCCTATAACCTATATTAAGTCTAGTTAGTCTAATTAGGCATACTGTTACAAATACACTATCTACAGCTAACAATCTGACCTTATTATATATACAGGGTGTGTATTTTTAATAGAAAAAGATTTGACAAATTACTATTACATTCTATAGAATACTAGACTTTGAATAATCTGTTCGTGTTATTATTGAGCTTTAATTTCTCGTGTAATAAATTCTAAATAAAATGTAAAAAATAACGTGCAAATTCTAGAAAAAAATTATATTTCTAGAAAAAATATATTTTCTAGATTTTGTCTCGATTTTTTCTTTTTTTCTTTGTCACGATCTATTATTACGATTTATGCTCCTTTTTAATGTCGGTAATTCTTTTTTCACCTAAAAGTATTTAATAAAAAAAAATGTATATTTACTTACTATACTATATATTCTTGTGAGAAGTAATTCTTATATAAAATTAGTACGTGTAATATAATACATCAAAAATAGACTCTTGTGACACGATTGCGAATTAATTACAAAGACAATGAGATGAAATAAAAACGCTCCACTTATGTATATACGACTTGAGTTGTTATGAAACTTGGACATCTCAATATCTGGTTACACTGACACACTTAGATTATATCATGTTATATACATATAGACAGTATATAAGGACAGTATATAAACATGTGTTACTATCCTGTAAAGATAAGATATATAATAATTTTTTTTTAGCCTATCAAAGCCCACTGCTGAGCAAAGGCATCTTTCTCTCATGGAGGAGCTAATAATACTTTAGTTATAAAATAATAATATCAATATTTATGAAGATTATCGTGTGATTTAATTTACGTATAATTTATAATTATTTTTGTATTGTATTAATATTGAAATAAATATAATAATTTATAACACTAAGTATATAATATTCTTATTATACATATATACATGTGTGTTATGTAAGAATTAATATTAATTCAATAAAGAATAGAACCTTGGAATTTGTATATTAATTTAATAATAACAAAAAGAAATATAAATAATAACAAATTCATTATATTTTCTATAAAAAATCCAACAAAATTATTACGAATAACAAAACTATTAAAGTCATATAATGTATAAAGCGAGATTAAATCCCTATATCCATTGTAATAAATAGTAAATGTTTGCGTGAGATCTTACTAAATCGATAGGAGCCGTCTCGACTTATGACCCATATACGAAAAGGTTACAAGGACTACAAATGTCGGTGTTTAATAATAAAAAAAACGTGTTACAATGGACACGTACCTCACGAGAGATATATCGTCTTTAAATATATTGAAATTTAAATTTATTTTCGTTGAATTCATCAAATGTATACACCTCGAATGAATATAGCACTAACGCTAAAGTGCTTATGTTTAAAATAAGTATCCTCATAAAATTATAATTATGAAATTAACTTAATAATATAGTATTATATTTTTTAGTAATTAATTGAAAATAAGTACTTAAGTAAGTAAGTTCATGCGATGTGGAATAAAATTGATGAATATATTTATATAGACACAAACTATGACAAAGATATAATTATTAATTGTGAAGACGAAATGAAAAAATTAAGTGACGATTAATGTTTTGCAGTTGTTCTTATAATAATATTTTAACTTAAGTCTCGATATAGTAACAAATTATTATGAAGTACTCTTTTGGAAATTATTGTAGAGTAAAATTTTATTTTTCTTTGAAGACAAAGTGGCGAACTCAAAAAATTTTTTCTACAAAATAGCTTATCATAACTATCTTTTATATTTCGTTACAATTTTATTTAATACAACTTCACCTTATAATAAGTGCGTTATGAAAGTCATTCCTTTGTTTGTTATAATATTGTATACTCCGAGTTTAGTATAAAAAATATAATGAAAAATCTATAAGTAACGTACCTATTACGTTTTAAATTTGTACACTAAATGCCTTGTACAAATACGCATAACATTACGGGTAATATTTCCGTGAAAAACTTACCTATCATTATTTAGGTTAATGATACAAAACCATACGAAAGTTATGTCTTAAATTTAGTTGAAATCTAATAAAACTAAAAATACGACAAAAGTATTGTTTTTTATACCAAAAATAGGGCAGAATACATCAGCGATAAAACTCTTATAGTTAGAGAAACATTATTTTAATAGCATGGTTTAACATATTTAACGAGTTCGTAGTGTCGAATATTTGAGGGTCAATGTTCTTTTATTTTCCTCGCTATGTTCGAAAGTTGAGGTCATTGCCATAGCTGTGCACTGGGCAGCTGTTACTTTCGTCACGGAATCCTGATCTTTAAGAAATATGTATCGAAAAAAAATATTTAACACATATACAAAATTTTATCCGATATATAATAAAAATAAAGTACTAACAAAGTTTTAATGAAATTATATACCTATTTATACACGCAATATATAGCAAGAGATTATGGTTCAACAAAAAAAAATCACGTATATTTTTTTATCTAAGGCAGGATTTCGTACAATAAGTATTAGTGGGGTCGCATCCCTTCTCAATCTAGTCGCAAACCTGTTCCGTGCCTTATCCGACTACCTGGCTTAGCACAGGTGTATAGCGAGCCTGTAAATTTTTTGTACTAGCAGGTCAATTTGTCAGAATTCATAACGTGTTTTACTTGACAATTCTTCAACATAAATTCTACATTAATACGTAGTGTTATTGACACAATTCGTTAATTTCATTGTATACTGGCAGGCAATTAAATAATAGAAGAAATTAAACAAAAAACATTATTAATATTTATCAAACAATTATCTTTTTATTATCATCAGGAATTAATTAACAAAGTAAAAGCTGTAAGTTTTAACTTTTTATAACTATCCATAAAATTTTATATATAAAATACTTATTTGTAGAACACAGAGTAAAAAAGAGAAATAAAAAATGCATTCAATGGCGTCCTTCGTCTGTTGGATACGGTTCCATTTTTAAAAAGTTGCGTGACAGAACCGTTGGCCCGGTGTAGAACAGAATGAAAATAAAATGGCCGATAGTTTGACGCTAGACTGGTTAACATATAATTGATCAACGAACTCACAGATCAAAATAATATGAAAAGTTCAAACAACCGTAGTGCGGCGAACTCAAATCATCTCAGACGTGAAATTTTAAATATATACAAATTAATAAATAATTTCTAAATTAATAAACTTGTTTTTTTAACCACCAATTAGAATATTCAGATCCAGGCGCAATTAAAATTTAAAAAAAGAACAAGTAAGTTCTAGAACAGGTTTCAAAAGAAATTAGATAGCTTACGGCGCCAAGAACACAGAATTATAAAAGACATTACGCGATATATTACCATATTTAAAGATATATTATCAATTTAAATGAGGTCATTATAAATAATATAATATTGCAATATTTACGAGATTCGCACGGAACATTATATCTTATCTTGCGTCCGATTTTCAACTAGAACTCACCTGATTCAATATAGAATAATATAACTGGCCTTTATAAAGTTATAAAATGTATTGTTATTATAATTAAACTAAATATTGCATTATATATTATTCAAATTTAGAACACTAATGAAATTATTATTTGTGTTCAAAAAATTTTATGTATAATTTATTACGTAGTATTGACAGACATAAAATCAATAGAAATACGTTAATGTTATCGGAACTACATAGTGACACAATTTTTTGACGTCCAAATTATATACATTTATGTATGAAAGTAAGTTATTCTGTAGTAATAATACATTCAGTAGCGTAAATATTTAATTGCCAAGAGTTTAGTTTTAACCCACGGAATATATGACGCAAATAATCGTCTATCACGCCACGGTATCGGGAAGATCTAAAATAGAACTCGGATCATTCGGTTATAACGCGACAGATAAGGTTTATCAAGAGAGTGATTTTATTAAATGTTATTGTAATTAAAGCTTTATTGTTGAGGCGTGGTCAGCTGTTAACAACAAACCCGAGATTATTGATTTTTCTTAACGACGATAATACACATAGGTTCGCAGGTCCGGTAACGTGATAACTGTTTATATTTATATTAAACTCACCTTGATTCCCGAACGTCCCTGTTGCTTCAGAAGGACGTTTTCCGGCTTCATATCACAGTGGATGATGCGGCTCTTGTTCAACGCGTGCAGACACTGCAGGAGGCTGTGGGAGAACTTCCGCACCAGCTGCAGCGAGAACCCCTGGAACTTGTTCTTCTTGATCAGCTCGTACAGATTGATCGAGAGCAGTTCGAACGTGATGCACGTGTGGTTCCTGAAGGTGAAGGAGTCGAACATGTGGATCACGTTCATGGTGTTGTCCTTGTCCAGGTCCCGCAGGTGCTCCAGGATGCGGATCTCCTCCTGCGCCTGCCGGTGGAACCGCCTCTCGTTGCGCACCATCTTGAGCGCGACGTTCTCCCTCTTCTTGTGGTCGAAAGCCTTCACCACCTGCCCGAAGCTCCCTTTACCTATCACCTTGAGCACCTCGTAACGGTACGCTATGTGGTCGTGCGGTATGTGTATGTAGGAACCCTGCTCGTTGTCGTACTCGCAATTGTTCGGGAAGCCGAGCAGGCCGGGTCTCTTTTTAGCGTTCGCGCCTATAAAGTACACTTGGGGGTAGTCAAATATCTCGCGGTGCTCGTACGGCGTGAGCTTGTTCATGTAGAGCTTCATGACCTGCTCGGGGCTGGCGGCGGCGGACAGCGGCCGCTTGTCGGGAGGCTGCGCGGTGGTCGCCGGCGGCGCGGGAGGCCCGGGCTCCAGCGGCGGCAGCGCCCCGTCCCGGAGCAACGCGCGCCCGAACGCGTGCGCGCTCCCTAGAGGCATGTCGCCGGTCATGGCCGAGCGCCCGCCGCCACCTCCGCGCACTTCGCTCGCCGTGGCCGCACCGACCCACGCTCGCTCCTGTACACTGCACCTCACTGCACTTGCACTGTTAGATGGAGCCACCCTGGGACACTGCACGACATTTCACATATAACGACAAGAGCGACGACCACGCTTCCACTTAAGTGAATACATTCCGTCCCGCACGCGATACGATGGAATCCTAACAGACAATACCGTGCGACGCGAACGTGAAACGCAAACAAAGACCCCCTTCCTTGCAGGTCGAGCCGACGACAGAACCAGAGAGAAAATAGAAACTGGTCGCCAGAGTCATTGAACCGTTCGACAGCCAGCAGCTCACGAGTGCGAGTGAGATAGATTGTCATAAATGTTTGCGTCTATGGCTAGAGGGCGCTCTTGTTACTTATTTGACGTGCATTTTTAAAGACCTAAAAAATTTTATCTGTGTATAAATTTATAAAAAAATTGGAATCATGGTTATACTTTTTATTAATAAATGTAAAATTGTATTAAACAATTTAAAAAACAAGTATATTACTTTACTGTTACATTCTAAAAAGTGATTAATAACAGATAAGTGTTATTTATGTTATATGAACCAATGTTTTTAATAATAGTATATTTTTTAAATCTATGATATATATTATATAGTATGATTTTTGGGCATATGATTTTAAGTAATTGCAATTTCACGTTCTTAACCGACTAGAAAAATCATTTTTTTTCTCTTTATTTTAATCCCACATCAATTTTGTCTGTGATGTAGTAACAGAATTTGAATTACTCTCATGAAATCATTCTTTTAACTTAATATCACATACAAAATGATTTCTGTTTAAACCAACAAAGTACCTATAATTTTTATTTTTGAACATTTTGGGTCTTTATTCAAACTTAGTCTATGGTAGATATGGAAACTGCTGCCATCTATTGGATGTTAACGAAAAGTTGAGGTTTTAGAATAGTGCATCATCCATCTGATCAGGACGTCTTTTTTCACTCTGTGGTTAGTAGTCTGTTGTTTTCTGTCATACAATCGAAACTATGTGGTGAAAATAATTTTAATTTAACGAAAAAATATGTTCAAAGACTATTGTGTAATATACTAAGGCGGTCGAAGATAACAGTGTGTTATATTTAAACGACGTAAGTGACCCTCAACATTGTATATGTAATGTAATGATTATTGCTTTAGCAGTGATTTCTTTTTGTCATTTTCTCAGCTGCTTTTATATGTGATCGCTAACTATAATGTCGATATTTCCGGAATACGTTAAAATCAAATTAACATGAACGTATATAGCTTGAATGCATTCGCATTAAAGATATGAACAGACGAAGTTTAATAATTCAATAATTGGTCGATAAGATCGGATTGTTTCGATTGAGTGTAAATTATATCGATTAGTACTAGCAATGATCCCAGGAAGTAAGTATGTGAACTTTTCAAGGTAATCATTATCGTTGATATGGTATGCAACTACTTTCATGTCACCATAAAGTGAATTTATATGCATGTTTTTAATCTTTGGATTGCAGCCAGTGTATCAATAGAATTATATTTATTCGCGTCTACATTAGTTAGTTTATTTTGTTAACATTCGTCGATGTTCAGTGTACCGCCCTGAGTCATTCAGTAGTAGCTGGAGTATATAACATTAATTGCTCTCATATTAGTCATCACAAGAGTAACCTTAAGGTTATGTAAGCAAACAAGTTTTATGATCAAACTATAAACTATGGAGTTTGTGTAAACACTCAGCTATTCCTAGCTCTAAACCTCTATTAACTAGATATATGTATAAAAATAATATAAATTATAATAATTTAATATATAATAATATATATAGAATCAACTTTTTTTTCTATATTTAGTAAAATAATTGAACTAAATTTATGGAGTAAGTGAATTATACTGTATACTTGTTTTGTAGTGCTAAATTTGATTTACATTTCATATAGTTCAAAGGTTTTGTCATTTTGTCATAATACAGACTCTCATATTAATAAAAATTACATAAACATACAGTGTATTGTTATATAGATCATAATATTTGCATATATTTATACATTATAACTTCTACAATTTATACATAAAATTTCATTTGAGATTAATAACTAAAGGACAAAAAAATACATTATTTGACAATACTTCTATATTAATTTCTAAGATATGAAATGTAGCACACGAAGTATATTTAATATTTTCAGTAAAATAATAAAATACTACGGTTTTAATAATAATTTTTAGTTTGTACTCTGGTAGCAGACTTATGAAAAGGTTAAGAAAACTCAGTTAAGGAAAATAACATCTTGTTATATTCTTATATCTAAAGTGTAGTAGAAGTCAGGAAGTTTTATTATAAGGAAAATTTAATTAACAAGTTCATAGTAATTATATGAATTTCTCAATAAGATTGTTTATAATCTTATAACTGAATATAAAATATATAAAGGTAAATCTATAGAATAAAAAAATTGTTATGGTTATAATATATATTGTAATTCTGTGAATTTTCAAACATATTTATATATTTCAGGAATTTTGATAAGATAGGTATTTTATCAAATATAGCCAATTATTATTTGAAGTTTTATGTTTCTACTGAGAATTGTTACTCATTCCCAGTTGACATTAGAATTTTTCTTTTAAAGATTGTGTACATTTATATTATAAAATTTACAATGAAATTTCAAAAGATAATTCTTATCAGTATATTAATAGTATATATGTATAATATGTGACATTGATTTCATAAATACTATATAATCCTGTAATTACGATGGATTATATTGTCATATAAATTATTTCATCAAATATTTGTATGTTAAATAGGTTTAATATTTACATTCAAAGCTTTATTTGGTAGTATATAAATATATGCATTGTAATAAAAGTTAATTGGAAGCCCTAGTGGGTCAACTTAATTCAATAGGATATAAGTAAGGGGTTTGATAGGTGTGATATTATTATAGTTATCCGTTCACGATATTTACATCGACGATCACGACACGACAACGACATGCTCTAAATTTGTTTTTATAACATTCCATCTGTTAAAATTTACGTTTCTTATCATAAATTTTAATGAGTGCCAATTTAATTTGTTAATCAATTAATGATTTAAATATTTCACATACAAATGACATTTATTTAACAAATAATTTCGTATAGTAGCATTTTATAAAGTAATAAATATACTTATAGTATATACTATATAACCATCTCCATTAGAGAAAGAGGCCTTTGCTCAGCAGCGGGCTCTGATAGGCTAAAAAAAATATATAACCTTATGCTTAGTTCATAATTTATTCCAATTACGAAATTATTTAGAGCCTAACCCACCACGCTTTCTCAATGCGGGTATTTGCCTATTAATATGATGATAATAGTCTGTATATTTTGTATCTTCCATATTAATTGATGTATACATCAGTGTTCACTGTAACTGAATCTTAACAGCGTGTTACTGCCTTAGTGTTTTCTGTTCAATGAAATAGGCATTACCTGTAATTTATATCTTACATTGGTATTTAATCCGACGAAATCCTTAATACAATTAGGCTATACAGACGACCCCTATATGTATTATAAATAATATTGAAGCGTACACACCCAAGTTACACTGATTTGGTTGAAATTAATTGAATTAGAATCACTGACTAAATTTTTTGCTGAATAGTATAACTTACGGTACTCCCTATTGATTTACTAATTTGCCAAGAGTCAAGATTTACACAATTAGACGTAAGTAATATGGTTACGTATTATAAATTTTTGAGTATATTTTTGTACGTACTATATGTGGTCCCACCGGCCAGTTGTTTGAAATAGTGAAATTGTATGAGACATATATTTTGTTCTAGATCGATCAATGAATTTATATTCAATATCGTTGGAAGTTATTAAATACCTTGAGATAATTCTTCTTAAAGGTTTTGTTATATTCTTTTCTTTATCTTCGATTATTATATTGTCTTACAATATAAAAGCTTAAGAAATTGTGTTCTCGGAAACCTAACTAATTTATTAACACATCCCGTATCATGTAAATCGGCTATAATCAATAGTTTTATCATTTTATTTATTATTTTGTTTGGAATTATTTTATTATTATGAAGACTGGCTTAATAAAATAGCTTACGAGATTCAAGAACAACCTCGATCGTTAACACCATTATTTTTTTATTTTAACGTTATAGCTCGAGTAGGAAATACCATAAACACATATTATTGAAATTAAAAAATTAAAAATATGTATTAAACCAGTTCATGACTTTTCATTGAACATCTAAATATAATCATTTTTATTTCATTTATTTTTTTTTTGCCATCATCCGTTATTCTTTATTTAGAATTTAAAAGAAGAACATTTTAATTAATAATTATTTATTATTATAAATTATACTATTTTCTGTTAAAACATACTAACAACTTTGACGTCAGATTTATGAAATGTCACCAGACAGTGAAACCTAAAAGACTAAACCACCGTAAAACCATGAGTAAAGATTAACATTTTGCTTGCTATAATTTAAATCTATTATTTTTGATCAAATCAATAGATACATATATTATTTGAAAATCGTAGAAAATAATTATTTATTTTATTGAAGTCGTGTATAATAAATGTTTTGACTAAACTTTAAGTAAATAAATATAACATTATTATTTACAAACAAACAATATTCCTTAATTAATATTAAATATATGTATATTAAATAGCCTTAAATCTCTGATTACTTTGAGTCTGAATCTGAATGCACTTGGAAATAAGATGTTATTCATACCAAAGGTTCATTATTTACTTAGTGTTTTTTATTTTATTTTAAAGCATACAAGATAAAGTTTATGTATCAAAGGATACATGCAATTAGGAATCTTCAGTCTATGTAATCATTAGTTTTTTTCTTTGATTACTATAAGTTATAATCTTCTACCTGGCAATTTCCCAGCTTTTAGCCAGGGTCTGTCTTACATGTTTGTGAATAGTTTTGGCTATTTGTTCTTACGACCGGCTGCCTGCCTGACATCAACCCTCTTTGGGAATGCATTAATCAGTGATGTCTAAGTACTCTTAGAAAGTACATATGACTCGGAAAAATCACATTGTTACTTGCCAGGATCGAACCCGTGCCCTCGAGCATGAGAGGCGGGGCTTTTAACCACTAAGCCACCACTGACTCAAAGTTATAATGTAGTATATTAATATAAAATTAAAAACCTTTCATAAGAAAGTTTCAATTGTAATACCTACTTTGGTAAAATTTTAAGTTTTGTACGTATAGTTAATAAATTATATATGCCCTGTTCAATTATTATATGATTAAATAGCCCATTTTACAATAGTAACAAGTAATATAA